AATAGGTCACACATCATCTATCTTTCAGGAGTATAATAACTTTAGGATCTCTCACTTATCTTGAAAATTGAAAATATAAAACAACCTTTTAGGTTCCGATAAATCATTTAATTATAATATATTACATAGTACAAACCATAAGCATTAACGTCATCTAATTCAGTAAACTATTTCAGAACACCTAGTCTCTAAGTCTAGGCAAGGATTGATATATTTGTCCTACCCAATGATTATTTTATAATTAAGTCTACCTATGATAACAAATAAAAGAATAGTGTGTGAGAATGTATGGCATCTGCATTTGTGATGTAAGCCTTGAAATTTACATTTATATAGTTACCTTTTTGGCATATGTAATGTAACATAAGCCTAAAAGGTACTTGATAGGCTTGATAGAAGGTGGCGCCGCAGCTGCAAGAGTCCTCATGCTGCATAAAACGTAGTAGTAACCCACTTTAGTGGTTATGGTATGGTGGGTAACCACATTGCTTTGAATGCTTTATTAAGTAGTTGATAAGTTTGCGTACGTAATTAATCTGGTTGGTCATTATTAATTCACAAAATCTGCGATGTTTCATTACAATTATAATTCTTTATTGTGCTGATATAAAGCTGACATAGACCAGAACTACTTATTGTGTATCGAACTTGGCACCGACTTCAAACAGTCTAGAAGGTAAATATTTGCAATTATAACGCTACCTTTTATTTTATACTCCTATTAAGGGTCGCACCTATTTAAGTTTTTTCACTTTTAATTTTCTAATTTGTTTGTTGGTATTGTTTGAAGTTGGTTCAATTACTTTTTTTAAAGGATTTATTTTACCGTTTTCAGTATAAGATATAAGATAATGAGTAGATAAACACTACGTACTGTAATGTATATTACCAAACTGTAGTATGTTAGATTATATTAAATTTAGTTTAATAAGTCCGTTACTTTATTTAGATAAGGTAGTAAAATGTTACATTTGAACCCGAAAATATAAATTGTTTTCCACCACTAGGAGTGGCATTTTTTCTTCATATTTAAATGGAACCTAAGGGGAAACATATACTTTCAAATAAAAAAGAAATTGCCAAATCAGTTTACAAATAAAGGAGTTATGAGGTAACAAACATGAAAATAATTGCGTAACAAACATTTTTTTTGTCTAAATGTTTTGTAATCTCATTTATTACTCTCTCGTGCACATATTACTATAACCTAATACAAACACCTAACAATTATCTTGAAAGAATAAAGCATGGTCGCATGAATAGATTTGGTCTAGCCGGGCCTATTGGTTTAGTGGTTAGTGACCCTGACTGCTGAGCCGGAAGTCGTGGGTTAGATTTCCACCCAGGACAAATAATAATTGTTCTGTGTCTGGGCGCAATTTATCTATAATATGTATGTATTTAGAAATATATAAGTATGTTTATCAGCAGTCTAGTTACCATAGTTTGGGATCAGACGGCCGTGTGTGATATGGTGGGTTTCCCTCGATTTCTCTAGGATCCCATCATTAGGTGATAATGGGACCACCTCGGGAGTATACCCGAAATTGACCGAGATATCGTGTAAAAAACACGCAAAAAATACATTGAGAATCGCCCCTTTGGCTTTTTGAAGTCGGTTAATAAAGTACATTCAGTCACTAATTTGCAGCTACGTAAGTCCGTATTCGACAGTAACTCATATCCTTCAAAGATTGAGAAATATTCATCATTCTAGCTATGTACGTGTAGATACTTTTTCGACAATAGCAATAATGTTACACTAATGCATGAACTGAATTGGATCAAAGGAGAAAGCAATTTATATTGAAACGTTAATTGTAGTGTGACTATTTTTAAGACATGAGCTCAGAGATTAATCCAAAACAGTTGCAATCAGTACATGGGATGCATTTTTATCTTACTACAGAGTAAATATAAGTACCTATACAAACACAATTATTTCACTTGTCTTAACAATTAACTCTATCTTAACTGGTATTATTGTAAGAAAACACTGGCGGTTATCATTGGCGATATACTGGATTATAAATCCTTTATTCATAGTAAAACTAATGTTAATTCTTTCTCTGCCATATGAACTACAAAAAATCAAACTGAAGTGTAACTAAAATGTTACTAAGTTTAAACATCTTGATTTATTGAGATAACCTTTAATCCTTGGAACAGCCCGAATTTATTTCTTCTCCATTTTATTGTAGGTTTCCCGCCTGGATAACATTTCCCGAGACTCTAAAAGTGCTCGATATCCTATTGGGACTCGGTTGTTGACAAACTGCAGAAGTTTGGATATAATATAGCGCAATACTAAAAAGCATAACTAACTATATTATTCGACATAGTTACTAACTAAACTAAGAAAGCAAAATTATAAATGAGACAATAGGAAACGACATTTAGTTTTAAAAATCATGCTAATAAGTTTTGACCCTGAAAGATAACCTAGTTCATTAACAAAGTCTAGGTTACCGCGTGCGAAAATAAATAAATATGTTCAACTTTTTTTGATTACAATAAAAAAACAAGAACACACTTTTATGTAGAACAATCTAGTCGTTTGACCCTCTTCACGTAGCAAGACTTTCCAAGTCAATGTTATCCAAATATGTAAAGTACATAATTTAGATCGTATAAATGCGGCTCAGTTCTCATTGCTAAATGTGAGCCTATTATTGCTGTTAAAGACATTCCCTGGGCAACAGCGCAATGATGACGGCGCGGTTGTTGCAACTTGACGTGCTTAGCTTCAAATAGCATTTTTGGTAAATCAGAGCAAGGTTAAAGTAACAAGAAACGTGCAAGCCCTTTTCTGAAATCCGTAGACAATACAAAAACTCATGTAGAACCTCAACTTTAGTTTTCGTTTACTTTGTACCTAATTACCTGTAATTTTCCATACATACTTATATGGAACACACAATACATGGGTTTGATTATAGCGGCTAACAGCGTCCATTTTTTTTGCATGACCGTATCTTCACCTTCATCAAAGGTATTTAATAACATAGTTAGGAATTTCCCTTTTATCAAAGCAAATCCTCATCGAGATATTCACAGACATCCTTCAGTTTGATTGAGAAATATACAATCTACAAATTGTTATTATTGTTAATTTTTAATTGTGGCCAAAAAACTATCTAGCGGTGAAATAATTAACTCTTCAGTTAGTATATAATATCTACGAATATATGATGTTTACAGGCTCTGCCTGGTTTGAGATCAGACGACCTTGCAACAACGGTACGGGTGCGCAACCCGGACCCACCGGGTCTAGTAGAAGCGGTGAACGTCTGTTTTGGGGTTTATGTGTTCTCAGTGAGAGTATCAAAGAGGTCATAGTAAATCCATATTAAATGTTTTGAAGAAGTAGTTTCTATGTTTTCATAAGACAATGTTAAAATTAATTTCCTATTAAGGTTGCATTTAAAACTTTACACGTTATCTTTAAAAACTTAATTAAATTAAAGATTTAAAGTAATTCAATTTACCTAAGAACTTTTATTTCTTATAATTTAATTATTCGGTTAGAGGGCTTGGACTTTCCTGCAACAGCCATTACGAATCACAGGTTATAGACTTAGTTCGGATGTCTTAACAACAGCTGTTGCCGGGTTCCTCTAATGTCGGGCGGAGAGTGGCACAACAAGTGGTTTTATTGGAATCGATTCCGACATACCACTCCAACTCCTCTTTTACTGTATTTACTGTATTTCCAACTCCTCCAATTTTCTTCTGATTAATTTCGTTGCGGGTTCCAAGACAGTTTAATTTCTTCCTGGGACTTCCCGAGTGTCATAACTCGGTGTGTTCGTGGGTCACTGCTGTGGATCCTGGTGTACAGGAGTTACAGCGGTGGGCGTGTGGGTGGGATTAGTCCCAAAAAATACCACTCCAACACAAACCCTCGTCAGTTTATATGTTATTTAAGCATTTTTGTATGAAACCAAATATCTATACATCATCATCATCAACAGCCTTTAATAGTCCACTGCTGGACATAGGCCTCTCCTTAGAAAGGAGGTTTTGGCCTACTATGCCACGCTGGCCAGACGGGTTGGTATAGGGTTTATGTCAAGTTTTCCTTCTCTTTGCAGTGCTGTTGTCATGCGTAGTTTGCTCCCTTAGTCGCCTCTTACGACACCCACGGGATGAATAGGGGTGGCGACACTCCGTATTCTTAATCCGTCACCACACGGACATATCTATACAAATAAATAGAATTGAATTGTCTGTTTGCATTGTCAAAACAATTTTTTTTTCATGCTCACACGGTTATCGGCAGAATACCTCGGCCTAAATACCAGTTCCAATTTTTTGTCTATCTGTCTGTTTGTTCCGGGTAATCTTCTAAACGCCTTGACCAATTTTGATAATATTTTACTACCAAGGATAACTTAGGCTTTATAAGGAGTAACTTAGGCTATTTTTCCTCTCAGAAAAACCTTTAAAAATTTTGCCCGGGCCGGGCTTCGAACCCACTAAGGCAGAGCTTTTCAAATTCGAAGTCGCGGGTACCAGCTATTTTTTAATAAAACCTGAGAACTTGATCTTTAAATTAGTACTAGTTTCTTTACAGTCTTACACATCACATCATCACATCAACAGCCTATAATAGTCCACTGCTGGACATAGGCCTCTCCTTAGAAAGAAGGTTTTGGCCTACTATACCACGCTGGCCAGACGGGTTGGTATAGGATTTGTTTCAAGTTTTCCTTCTCTTTGCAGTGCTGGTGTCCTGCGTTGTTTTGCGCCCTTAGTCGGCTCTTACGACACCCACGCGATGAATTGGGGTAGTGACATTCCGTATTCTTAATCCGTCACTACACGGACAGTCTTACAACAAAATCAAAATTACTAAGTTTTTCTTTGTTCAACACAGTATATCCCACAATATTATTATTATTACCAAGTTTCACGCTTTGTACAATAATATATGTATAAATAAGAATGTTGGTCATGTTCGAGTTATTAAATTACGTTTTAATATTGAATGATCTTACCTTCATGGAGTTGAGGCTCGTTGCGGTGTTGGCAACCACATCGCCGAGGGTTGCGGGAGGCAGCGCGTCGCTCCGCAACACCAACACGCAACCGCACAGCAGCACGGCACGCCACCAACGCACACTCATCTTCTGGATTATTCTTTTTCAAATAAATTATCTGTGTTATACCGATAATTTCGAGTCACAAATGACTGCTCGCCTACGGAGACATTGTTTTGGTTCCGTTGTATCTCGTAACTAGAAATTTGATCTTCAACTGAAATAAAAAAAAGTAAGATATTATGCAATCTTACATAAATAAATATTTGATTGGATAGCCCGTTGAGATTAGAGCCTAATAATGGGTGATTGTATGTTCTTATAAAAGCGCAACAAGTAATAAATCATAATAAAAATAAAATTGTTCATTAATATTTTTAAAGGTTTTGATTTAATTTTTAGACCACTTAATTCGTTTAACTACCACTTTGGATTCGTAATTGGTAGTTCTGTTACGATTTTTGACGAAACCTGATGCAAGTCAATTTGTTAGTGCAATAAGTATTCAATTTTTATTAAGTTCAAAGACATTAGCGTCGTCCGTGTGGTGACGGATAAAGAATACGGAATGTCATCACCCCTATTCATCCCGTGGGTGTCGTAAGAGGCGACTAAAGGAACAAACTACGCAGAACAACAACACTGCAAAGAGAAGGAAAACTTGAAACAAACGCAACCCGTCTGGCCAGCGTCGTATAGTAGGCCAAACCCTCCTTTGTAAGGAGAGGCTTTTGTCCAGCAGTGGACTAGTAATGGCTGTTGATGATATTAGCGTCATCAAGAGTATATGTCTCACAAACATAGGTTAAAACTAAAACTATACTTCTACTAAAATTAAATGTAAAACTTTACTGAGTGCTTCAATAAAAAACAAAGTTCCCTTCCCAACGGTGGTACATGAATACCAGCGCAAGTTCGAATACAGTTATCGCCTCTTTAGCAATTAAAAATAGATCCGGTCTTGATCTATTACATTTATTGCCAAAAAGGCAATAATGATCTAGCACTTGATGTACAGAAATATAAAACTTTCACAATTTGTACAATATTTAAAAAGTAACGGGTAAAGATTAATTGTTGGTATAAATACATTCCACAGAAAACATAGCATTACATAACCTAGTCGAATACCCAATTTGAGCATACATTTAAAAAGATTATAGCGTTATGGTCCTAAATGAACCCTATTCAATTCACCCTAAAAACGTTGTCCAATACGAGTGCACATTCAACCGCCAAAGTTATATAATATTTAGTAAAATGCCGATATGTTCAGTTTGTATCGAAGAGACACTGCAATCGCTCCTGATAATCCCGAGGTAATTAAAGGTAGCATACAAGGCGCAGATCAGCAACATCATCAATCATCGTCTCTACCATCATATGCACTTCTTTAGCAAAGAACGGTTAATATGTGTTAGAAAACCAGCCTCCTACAGGATTCTCAACGTCTAGGCTAAGCAAAATGCGCATAAGAAGGGCATTTTGGTCAAATAAATAATAATTATTATTTTGTAAATTGTGCACTTCGTATAGTGTGAAGTTTAGCGTGTGTGCTCCGCGAGCATCGTTCTTGATATTATTCAACTCGCACTTTCACTTACTCTACCTACGAGTATATTTAGGCGTACGAAACTAAGGTGGTCAAACTTTATAGCAGTAATCTTGAAGATGTCTTTCATTTATTGGAATCAGTATGCGGCTCTTAAATCTTAAAAGAAAAGATTTGCTAAATTTTACGTACTTACTTTTTTATGTTTTTGTTTTCTGATACGACACCCATGTGTGTCTTAATTGTAAAATAACATATTATATACATACATACGCTCACGTCTCAATCCCCGAAAAGATAGATAGCGTATTTAAGGAACACATTTTGCCGGCTATAATAATTTAGTCCCACTTACATAATAATATAATAATAATATTTTCGGACATCTGACACACAACGCCACCTAGTTTCAAACTAAGCGAAGCTTGTACTATGAAAGCTAGATTGACTGATAGAATACTTATATACCTTTTTTGTAAACACATACATATAATACATAGACAACACCTAAACTTCGAAATAAATATTATCGTGCTCTCCTGTTTAGCAATTATTTCTATAATCGGTGCCCACTGCTAGAGTTTCGAAATCCATATTTTGGCACTTATGAAACCTACTGTTGTAACTCGACTTGAGAAACTTCTCTCGTCTATTGCTGTCAGCTATATCTCGCTTATCCGTTTTTTAATGAAGCATCTAATATCCATTTTGTTTTAATAAAGACATAGCCCGCTGATTAAATTTGTTACGACATTGTTGTTGATCAACCGATAACCCTAAGTCGGGTCCGTCAGCTTCACACATTGTTTACGCCCTCAATGACGTCATAGCAATCATTTCGATATATTATCTGCCCCAAGCGATTGCGTCTTAACTATTGTATGAAAATATTCTATGATCACCAAGCCGTTGATTGGTTATTAACTCCTTTTACTTGACCTACCTCTATTTAATTACTTTGTATCAAGCTCTCGACTTACGAAAAACTTATGTAACACTACATATTTTATAAAAGGAAAATAAAGAGTTGTGTTTGTGATTTTCAGCTAGAACAGACCTTAATAAATAAATAATTTGAATTGAATTGAATTGAATAAACTAAAATATTTATAGGTACACACTTTTTCTATGTTCCATTAACGTTTGAATAACAATGCCACGTTAGCTGCAATCAGAACTATATCTTCTGCCTGCGGTCAGAGAGTTGATGCTTGTTGGCGGTTCGGTGATATACAAAGCCTAGCTAGAGCTTGCGGCTGCGTGATTATTTCTCCTTCCGTGTTCTTAACTTTGAAAATGACGAACTTACATAAAAATCAATCAACATCAGCTGCTCAAATTTCAGGGTTTCCGGCGGTTTGAGTTGATGACTTAGCCAGTCAGTCAGGGCAAGTAATTTTATATGTAGGTATAGATGACAAAATAAATTCTTTTATTGTTCTTTAAGGGATTTACTGTTACTATGGCTATTTTGCGAATAAGCTAAAATAAAATATTTTCCAGCTTTTGGTTCTGAAAGGAAAAACCTTCAAATCTCAAAAACCAAAAAGCATCAAATTTGATATACTAGAAGATGTTTGTGAGAATAACGTATAATTATCGATGGACCTATTTGCATAAATACGCTATTAACATTGGTGTTATTAATAGCACTGGAAAAATAATTTTAAATGCATTTTTGAAAACTACTCAGAACGTTAGAAAATTAGAAAGTTAGAAACGAAGTATCGTTTTAGACTTTAACATTGATGTATTATGCGAGATCACAGACAGGTAGTATGCGTATATTTAGATCAAAGATTAAAAAGTATGTACATGATAACATATACTCGTATTAATAATTTGAAAGAATAATAACAGTTACCAACACGACTGCCACATTGCTATGTGTGGTTATTTATGTGTGTGCGTGTACTTCTTTATTGGCTTCGAAACAAAAAGAAATACTAAATCTAGTATAAAAATATATATATGTATTCTGTGTACTAAGTATCGGGAATTTGTCAATTTGTTATTTTATCGCCTTCAAAGTAGGCCCCATCGCTTGCAATACATCATCTCCACCGCTTCACCCAGTCTTCCATACATTTTTCATAGGCTATTTGTGGTATGGCCTTTAGCTCATTCAGCGAATTTTCTTTTATAGCTTCTATCGACTCAAAACGTTTTCCTCGAAGTGGTAATTTTAACTTGGGAAATAAAAAAAAGTCAGACGGAGCCATATCAGGTGAATACGGTGCTTGGTCGAGAACTTTTGTTGAATTTTTCGCTAAAAACTCTTTCACTATAATGGCTGGGTGTGATGGTGCATTATCATGGTGCAGCATCCATGAGTTGTGTTGCCACAAATCTGGACGTTTTCGGCGGATACTCTCACGCAAACGCTTCATGACGCCTAAATAATATTCTTTATTCACTGTTTCTCCCTCTGGAAGGAATTCGGAGTTAACCACACCACGGTAGTCAAAAAAAACTGTCAGCATCACCTTGATTTTGGAGCGACTTTGCCGCGGTTTTTTTGGTTTCGGCTCGTTTTCGAGACGCCATTCTGAAGACTGTTGGCTTGTTTGCATGTCGTACTCATAAACCCATGTCTCGTCGCCAGTTATACGTTTCATAAAGGTCGGATCCGTAGAAGCTCGGGAAACCATGTCTTCAGCGACATGCTTTCGCTGCGCTTTTTGAACAAAATTAAGCTCTTTTGGAACTAGTCGAGCGGCGACGCGTTTCATGCCTAAATTGTCAATGAGAATGTTGTGGACGGACTTAAAAGATATGTTCACCTCACTAGCCAACTCTCTCAGACTCATACGTCGATTTTCGAGCACTAGCTTCTTGATTCTGTCGATGTTTTCTTTGGTCGTAGCGGTTGAAGGTCTACCAGAACGAGGCAAGTCTACTACTACTTCTCGGCCTTCTTTAAAAGCCTTATACAATTCATAAGCCCTTGTTTTCGATATACACGATTCGCTGTAGGTATTTCGCAACATTTTTAGTGATTCACCACAAGAAATATCATTCGAAACACAAAATTTAAGGCACACTCTTTGTTCAACAATATTTTCCATTAAAAAAATGGCCGAGGACTCAAAACTATCACCAACAAAAAGTGTAGTTTAAAACAAATTAAATGACAGATCCCGCTCAAATTTTGCGCGCTTAATCAGTACAGTGCTACCAACATGCAGTAAAAAAATTAGAACGACCTCTTTTACGCGGGTCTTTTTATTGACATATTCCCGATACTTTTTACACAGAGTTGTATATAGCAAGTGCACTCCTTTTTGGACAGTAGAGAAACAAAATGAAATAAATAATTTTTCACTTGTATAAAACAAAGAAGGTAAAAGAAAGGAAAATAACGATAATGCTACATTATCTTGTTCATTTTTAAATTATTACTAGCTGAGACCCGCGGTGTTACCCGCGTTTGATATTGAATTGTAGCTTATATGACACGTTTGTCGGTTTACCATAGCAGTGCCATCTATTTATTACTTACTCAATCCAGTCAAAAAGTATCGACATCTGTTAG